TTCTAAATGATTCATAAACGACTCGTGCGAAGCAGTTCAAAGAATTCTCTAAACTGCTCCTTTCCGTGAGCCCTCACTGCTGTGATTGGTCAGATGGCGCAGTCCTTTGTGATTGGTCCAGAGCCGTAGAGAGATTGGCTCTCAATTGGTCTACCGCGTACAGCACGTGTCGGAAACGAAACATTGCCATGACGGAATGACAGCCCTGGAGACTTGTCAATACATAGAAAAGATGGTATCGATTGTACCTTACCAATTCGAGCCGGAGTCTGATGATGAAACGGTTGAACTGGCTGATCGACAAGAGACTGATTCACAAGCACGACTGGAGCAGGACGTTTCTCAGTGGTAAGTGTCAAGTGTTAACAGGTTTGTGGTAATTATAAAATGTGATAAAATAAATTTACTCTCACAGCATAGGATACAGCGTCTTCTCAACATGATGTTAGCCAAATTAAAATGTTACTGTTTGTGGGCGGGCAAGTTGGCGACGTAGAACGTGGGCGGACATTATGCAAATGTGTTACTTTGTGACGTAGAGCCGTAACAGGATAAGATTCGAATTCCTGACGACTTGTTTAGGCGTTTGCGAGACAGCTCTTTTTTTTTTGATAGACAATAACTTTATTTATTGCGCACTGTCGGCTTCACAGCTTTGCAGATAGTTTATGTTCACATACAACTACATGACACACTGCATGAAAGGTAATATTCGAAAAGGCACAGTAGGGGCACTTAAATATTTTTTATTTTGCCTGCAGTACCCATTTTTAAACCACTAGCTGTCAATATTACATACTAAGCGCTACACTCATGGCCAAAAGTCTTAGCAGAGACATAAATGTTGTGTTTTGCAAAGTTTGCTGCTTAAGCTGTTGTGGTGTTCATTCACATTGTTTTTAGATTATTGTGTAGAGTGATCAGATCCATTTTAAATAATTGCTAAAAGCTTCATTGGCCAAAAAATGAACTTTTCACAAAAACAAAACAAATTTCACTGTTTTTTGATCCTGACACAAAATTACCTGCTAACATTAATTGATTAGTCATATCAGCAGCACATGTGAAAGTGTGAATGAGTACTAGTCAGGTTAATCACTATCATACTAATTAGATTGTAAGAGCAGACTGATGGGGGGGAAGAAGTGCTTCCAATCATTGTGTTCTTGTTAGCAATGGTTACCTCCAAAGAAACACATGCAGCCATCATCACTTTGCATCAAAATGGCCTCACATGCAAGGAAATTGCTACAAAGAATATTGCACCTGAAAGAACCATTTACCGGATCATCAAGAACTTCAAGGAGAGAGGTTCGACTGCAGTGAAGAAGTCTTCAGGACGTCCCAGAGTGTCCAGCAAGCGCCAGGACGTCTCCTCCTGACGAGTCAGCTACGGAACCGTGTGACCAGCAGTGCAGAGCTTGCTCAGGAATGGCAGCAGGTTAGTGTGAGAGCATCTGCTCGCACAGTGAGGCCAAGACTTTTGGACAACGTCCTGGTGTCAAGAAGGGCAGCAAAGAAGCCACTTCTCTTCAAGAAAAACATCAAGGACAGACAGAAATTCTGCAGGAAGTACAAGGATTAGACAGCAGAAGACTGGTGCAAAGTTATTTTCTCTGATGAATCTCCCTTCCGTCTGTTTGGGACATCTGGAAAATCGATTGTTCAGAGAAGAAAACGCTACCATGAGTCCTGTGTTGTGCCAACAGTGAAGCATCCTGAGACCATCCATGTGTGGGGCTGCTTTTCAAACAAGGGAGTGGGCTCTCTCATAATTCTGCCCAAAACACTGCCATGAATAAAGAATGGTATCAAAACGTCCTGCAAGAGCGACTTCTTCCAATGATCCATGAGCAATTTGGTGATGATCCGTGCATTTTCCAGCATGATGGAGCACCATGTCACAAAGCAAGAGTGATAAAGAAGTGGCTCGAAGATCATTACATTGAAATTCTGGATCAGTGGCCAGGCAACTCCCCGGAGCTCAATCCCATAGAGAACCTGTGGTCAGTCCTCAAAAGGCGAGTGGACAAGCAGAAGCCCACAAATTGTGATCAACTCCGAGAACTAATAAGGCAAGAATGGATCGCCATCAGTCAGGATTTGGCCCGGAAGCTAATATCCAGCATGCCAGAGCGAATTGCAGAGGTTATGAAGAACAAGGGTCAACACTGTAAATATTGACTCATTATATATTTTTTGCCAATAAAAGCCTTTAAACCTTATGATATGCTTATCATTGTTTTTCAGTATACCATAGAAAAATTTAGAAAAATAATCTACAAATACTGAAGCAGCAAACTTTGCAAAACACAAAATATCACGAGTATTGCAGGTGGGGCGTGGGCCATCAGCAGAAAAAAGAAAATAATTAAAACAGTAAACAGCCAAAGGACGTAACTTAGAATGGGAGATGGATCGGTTTGTGAAAGGGAAGAGAAAAACCATAGATGAAGTCGCACAGGCCCAGGCAGGTTCTAGTCATTCAAAAGCTAAATGCAGAAAATATGACAAAGCATATTTTGCACTCGGCTTCACTCACCACTCACCATCTATACTGGATGCTACAGCTCTACACTGGACATGACAAAGCGACCGTTGCAAATCATTTTAACTTTGTGTCAGTACGTCATAAAAAGAACAAGGCATCCGTTTAATGTTAGGGATTTGTCGTGTCGCGTTCCGCATCTAGACATCACTGATTATAATGGGTTCTACTGTATTTTGCCACTCGCGTCTGGTGTAGACACGGTGTTAATTTTGTTGGTGAGAAGGAAAGGCCTGTGTTTCCTATGCCTTAGCGGACAGCAAACCCACAAAAAAATTTTGTGTGGACGATTTCTTGAGACGAGGAGAAAAAAAAGATCGGATAGGGAAAGCTCTGGCTTCGTGTGGACGTAGCTTAAGGATCCTTAGGGCATTCTTATTTGATCCCATTAGGATCGGTTCAGATTATGTTAGAAACTCCATTAGCCATGCTGTACACAACTAGATATTTAGTCGAAATGTTGAAGAAAGAGTTTATAAAATAGTTTGCAGCGTTGTTTGTTTCACGCTGGTGCGCATTACATAATGTTCAGTATGATTTGGGCTTAACTTTGTGTCAGTACGTCATAAAAAGAACAAGGCATCCGTTTAATGTTAGGGATTTGTCGTGTCGCGTTCCGCATCTAGACATCACTGATTATAATGGGTTCTACTGTATTTTGCCACTCGCGTCTGGTGTAGACACGGTGTTAATTTTGTTGGTGAGAAGGAAAGGCCTGTGTTTCCTATGCCTTAGCGGACAGCAAACCCACAAAAAAATTTTGTGTGGACGATTTCTTGAGACGAGGAGAAAAAAAAGATCGGATAGGGAAAGCTCTGGCTTCGTGTGGACGTAGCTTAAGGATCCTTAGGGCATTCTTATTTGATCCCATTAGGATCGGTTCAGATTATGTTAGAAACTCCATTAGCCATGCTGTACACAACTAGATATTTAGTCGAAATGTTGAAGAAAGAGTTTATAAAATAGTTTGCAGCGTTGTTTGTTTCACGCTGGTGCGCATTACATAATGTTCAGTATGATTTGGGCTCATTTTTTGGCTCTTCTGTGTGAGTACAGAGACAGATGGATGTGTCCCATACTGCTAGTGCTTGTCTTAGGCAACAGCGCTGGCTACCTCCTCTATTATTTCAGCTCACCAGAGGCCTCCCTGCATACCTATACGTCCTGCAATAGCCAATAAAAACCACTCTGAATGAAGGAGACGAGAAAAAGAAACAAAGTTCTTCGAAGCGAACCAAGCCAAATGCTGAGCAGCTGGTTGAAGTGTAACACAAGAGGACTGGCTGTTCATTCATAAAGATGGATGGAAACATACACTTCCAGCCCCGCTCCGCCAGTTATCTGGCTCGCTTTCTGAGTCTGTTTTGGTTAATGGTTGTCACATCATCTCTGTTTCGTAGGCTCGTGTGATCTGTGAAAGGGTTAATATCATCGGCCTTGAGAACAGCGGGAGTATTTGCTTGTTTTTGTATGTGTGTGTGAGCAGACACACGCCCACTCACTGACTCTGATGAGAGCCGTGAACAGGTCTGGACACGTTTCAGAGTTAATGTGCTAATTTTTCTCACAAATTAAGTTCCTGGATGGGTTTACCAGAAGAAATGATGATACTTATGATTATAAGGATAATGTAATCTCGGTTTGTTCTGGAGTGTCATTCATTCACACTGTTCTCAGTCTGAACTCTGGGAATATGACGCATAATGTAACCTATTAAACATTTACTCACACTCTCCAGGATATCAACTATTACCAGGGTTCAAATTTAACTTTTGAGAAAACTAGCTTCCGATAAATATATCTCAATGGCATTGTTTTTAAATTCCATTTGACTAAATATTATTTTAAATTATTCTTTTTCTAAATACAACTTTTTACTTTATTTATTTTGAATAAATAAATCAATTAATCAATAAATGAAACATATAGTTTGAGGTCAGTAATATGTTTTGGGTTTTTTACAAATTAAAGTAGGATTCATTAAATTGATAGTGACAGTAAATACATTCATGTTGCAAAAGATTTCTTTTTCAAATGCTGCATTTCCTGTGCATCAAAAACAACAACAAAAAAACATTTCATAATTGATAAGTTTTTTTGTTTTTTGAGCAGCAAATCAGCATATTATACTGATTTCTGAAGGATCATGTGACGCTGAAGACTGGAGTAATGATGCTGAAATTTCAGCTTTGCATCATAGGAATACATTTCTTTAATGTCAAAAAACACTTTTGTGTGCACTGTGCAGTTATATTACAATAATATAAAATAATTTTCAATATACTGTATATTAAAAAAACTAAAAAAGAAAACATTTTAAATTGTAATAATATTTCATGTTACTGTTTTTATTTTTGATCAAGCACAAATAATGTAACTGGTGAGTAATTTTATTTAATGTACTCGAGTGTTAATTTTCGAATTGGCTGTAAATAAGCAGTGTATTGCAGCATGTGAGAGGCTGATTCATTGTTTGAATCACCTATAAACTCCGGAATCAAGCATGTTAGATAAACACAGATGAGATTTAGAGCAAGAGGGGAAACGAGCGCTGGTGAAAGTGACAGAAGAGCGCAGGTGTGAATCTCCCACACACGACACGCATGCCGTCACCTGGCAGTGTCACTGTTGTTTTGAAGTGTTTTAATAGTTGTGTCACTGCAGCAGTGCTGAAGGGAATTTCTAACTGCACATACACATGAGACTTATGCAATCAGACCTCTGAATCACGGCCTTGACTGCAAATACAGCAGATCTCCTTATAGACCATGCTCTTCATACCATACATGATTTGATCTATCACTTCCCTGCGCATTATATTTGGCTCTTCAAGGGTTTCCTTTCCTTTTTTGTTAAATAAAGCTGAAATAAAATAAAATAGAAATATAACTATTGGATGAAAAACATAAAACTTAAATGCAAATTTGAAATTTTGCCTTAGCAACTAACTGAAATAAAACAAGTTTAAGCTTTAGTACTAAAACTAAAACTGAAATCAATTAAAAAATAAATAAATAAATAAATAAAATTAATAAAAATGACCAAAGAACATACAAACTAAAATGTTAACTAAAATTGAAATAAAACATAAAAATATAAAATAAATGCTCATTCAAAATATATATATATAGCAAACTAGTTTATGAATAATAAAAAAAAATTTTTAAACATTGCTACAAAATATCTCAGATATTCAGAACACTTAAAGATGCACTTTATTATTATTCTCTCATAATTAATCTTGAAAATGGGTTTTATATTTATAGCAATAAGGCAGGACTGTTGTTAATCTTAATCAAAATTATTAAAATATTTTGGTTAAATAAAGCTGAAATGAAATAAAATATAACTTATTAGATGAAACACTTAAATGCAAATATGAAATTTTGCCTTGACAGCTAGCTGAAATAAAATAAGTTTCAACTTTAGTACTAAAATGACTAAAACTGAAATAAAGAAGAAATAAAGATGAATAAAAATGACAAAAGAACATAAAAAAATACCAAAATTGAAATAAAAATTCAAAATATAAAATAAATGCTCATTCAAAACATAAATAGCATGATACTTTATAAATAACAAGCTACAAATATCTCAGATATTCAGCACACTTAAAGATGCACTTAATAATTACTATTCTCATAATTCATCTTTAAAGTGGGTTTTATATTTACAGCAATAAGGCAGGACTATATTGATTGAAATAAAATAGAAATGAAAGCAAAATAGAAACAACAAAATTACTAAAATGTAAACTAAAATGAAAAATAAAATAAATGCTAATTCAAAAATAATCTATACTAAGTGTACTATAAGTGTATAAATAATACTAAAATAACATTGCTACAAAATATATATTTTAGAACACTTGCACATACTAATATTATTCTTTCATAATTCGTCTTTGAAGTGTGTTTTATATTTAAAACAATAAGGCAGGACTATACTGATATATTTTTTAGGCATTCTGTTTCTTTTTTTTTTTGTCCCCCGAAATCAAATTTCTTTGCCAAATCACTTTGCATGCACACAACATTCAGTGTTTGTAGCCTTAGATGTGCTGTCTATTGTTTTAAGCTTTATACTTGATAAAATACTCGAAAATCTAAATCTTACAGGCCTGCCATTGTAAAACTGATTCATGATTTGCCTCCTTTACAGTCCAAAGACGGCCTGACTGAACCAAAACCTGAAATCTGAACTTCTCTGAGCACTATTCTATGGCAACATCAAAGTTCCTGATATGTCCTTCACGTGTCAATCGTGTGTTTGTTTGTTCCAGAACTCCATGAAGGTGATGTTTAAGTGTCTGTGGAAGAACTGTGAAAAAGTCCTCAGCACTTCCTCAGGGATCCAGCGCCACATCCGCACCTTCCACCTGGGGTAAGAGTCAGTCAGACACATCACACCTGGGACAGATGTGCACACGCTTGTTCTGCAGTTTGAACGTGTAGTCTTCTACACAGAAATGAGACAGATCGACTCTCTTTTTTAAAAGAGAAGTATACTGTTAACTTTCGAATGGAAGTTTCATTCGTTGCTGTTGGACTGGAGATGAATCTGAAGGGCCCAGATTGTCTGTCAGGGAGCTCTTCCCTTTCTGAGCACCATAACAGGAGGTAACGAGGGGACCACATTCTGATGGAAGTAGTAAGAGTGTTTTTATAGCCTCTTGTTGCTACCTGACCTTGCCATATAATCTCGAACCTCTGTTAATGTGCTGGCACTGCTGTCCCCTGCTGGCCGCACACAAGAGTGCACTTAGGCCTGTGTAACTTTAGGATTGTGTGTTTTCAGGCGAAATGGAGATTCTGACTACAGCGATGGCGAGGAGGATTTCTACTACTCTGAAATCGAGGTGAACATGGACACGCTTTCGGAGGGGCTGTCCAACCTCACGCCCACGTCACCTACTACGTCCGGCCCGGCCCCCATCTTCCCCGTCTTGACTTGTGATGCGTCTCGATCTGAGCCCACCCACATGATCCTCACCCCACTCAGCCAATCAGCACCGTCGACGCTGTGCCATATCCGCACTGACCACGCTTACCAGGTAACAGCACTCTGCATCTACACATCTTATTCAGTACACAGGTTCAGTTTGGGCTGCAGACGGATCATATTATGGGTTTGAGGTGTAGCGATGAAGTCTTCATGGATGCTTTTGTCTATGTGTGTGTGTGTGTGTGTGTGGGTGTGTGCTTTTACTTTGGAAACATCATATCCTTTAAAATCTCCCACGCAAGGCTCTGTTTGAGTTATTAATGCAACTCAAATCTCTCTCTGTCAGAGTCAATAGAGCTTAAAGGGATAGTTCACCCAAAAATGAAAATGTGATGTTTATCTGCTTACCCCCAGGGCATCCAAGACGTAGGTGACTTTGTTTCTTCAGTAGAACACAAATTATGATTTTTAAGTCCAGCCGTTGCAGTCTATCAGTCGTATAATGCATGGCAATGGTAACAAAATCTATGAGAGTAAAAAAAACATGCACAGACAAATCCAAATAAAACCCTGCGGCTCCGTGTGGAGAAGCTAAATCCAATTTTAGGACCTTTTAAGACATTTTTGCATTATTTTGCCAATTTGACATTATTATTATTATTATTTGACAATTAATTGAAGTTCCTCCTACAAGCACACATACATATATTATATAAACAAAAACATTTATTTTGGATGCGATTAATCGTTTGACAGCACTAATATAATGTAATATAATACAAAACAAAAGTGTTTCTCAACCCTGGTCCTGGGTGCCCCCTAGAACTGCACATTTTGTGTGTCTCCCTAATCAAACACATCTGATTCAACTCATTAGCTCATTAAAAGAAACACCAGGACCTGAAATGGGTGTCAGATAAGGGAGACACATGTCTCAAAATGTGCAGTGTTGGGGGGCGCTCAGGACCAGGGTTGAGAAACACAGCAATACAATATAATATAATATAATGGTGTGAAATCAGGCATAAACACACTTAAGAGTGAAAAAAAATAAAATATGAAGTATCAATTACTTTTATTACTAATTGTGATAAATATACTGAACACACTATACTATTCAAAGGTTTGGAGGCAATATGTTTTAGTTTTTTTTAAAGAAATTAATACTTTTATTCAGCAAAGATGAAGCTGAATTAATAAAAAATGACAGTAAAGGCATTTATAATGTTACAAAATATTTCTGTTTCAAATAAATGCTGTTCTTTTGAACTTAATATTCATCAAATTAATCCTGAATAACATACCACAAAAAATATTAAGCATAGCAGAATAAGAAATGTCTCTTGAGCAGCAAATCAGCATATTAGAATGATTTCTGAAGGATCATGTGACACTGAAGACTGGAGTAATGATGCTGAAAATTCAGCTTTGATTACAGGAATAAATCACATTTTAAAATATATTCAAATAGAAAACAGCTATTTTAAATTATGATAATATTTCAAAATATTTAGAATTTTTACTGTATTTTATAGCAAATAAACGCAACTCTAAAGAGTATGAGACGTTATTTCAAAAACATTTAAAGGGGTCATATGACGTTGCTAAAAAGAACATTATTTTGTGTATTTGGTGTAATGCAATGTGTTTATGCGGTTTAAGGTGAAAAGTGAGGTGGGCTCTGATTGGCCAGCTATCCAGTGCGTTGCGATTGGCCGAATACCTCAAGCGTGTGACGGAAATGTTACGCCCCTCACCATACTGTGATGCCGTGTCCCGGGGCGACGAGACAAAAACATTAAAACCCATTATAAACAAGGCATCCGTTGCATCCAGTGGGGACATAATTACGGATTATAATGACTTATACCTTCTTTCTAGCGTTGCGTTGCATCGCGCTGCGTAAACATAAAACCATGTCTGCATTTGTGATCGGAGAAATTACAAACAACAAGCGCTACTCTACACTGCTCAAAACTCACGTTTGAATCGTCAGTGGCAAATTCTTTAAATATAAAAACGTATTTACAGGCTGAGAGTCAGAACAGCCGGCATTGTAGTCTACTCTCCAGGATCAGGGAACAGTCCTC